GGCTTTCCCAGTGGATCCCAGCTCTCCCAGCAGATCCCAGCTCTCCCGGGGGGATCCCAGCCCCGCTTACCTCTTGTAATGGGTGAGGATCTTGGGCTCGGAGCGGGCGCAGCCGGTGGGGTTGATCATCAGTGGCAGCTCCATCAGGGGATGGCGCCCGTAGCGGAACAGGTAGTTCTGGCAGCTCTCGACGCCCGGCAGCTGCCGAGGGGACACAGAAGGGCCGGGGGTCGAGTGGCAGCACCAGGGCAGCCACCAGCCCCTTCCCCAGCAGGGCTGACCCCCGGTATGGAGGGGAGACCCCCGTCCTCCCCCGGACCTACCGACTCGGCGATGCGCAGCACCGCGTGCACCGTGAGGCCGAAGAGCTCCTCGCCCTTCAGGTACTCCGGGAAGAGCCGCAGCATGTCGGCCTCCTTCCTCATCATCGCCACCGGCTCGATGATCCGGTTCCAGACGGCTGCCGAGGGAAGGGAGAACCACAGAATCGCAGCATTAATCAGGTTGGAAAAGACCTCCGAGATCATCCAGCCCAACTTTTGACCGATTGCCACCTCGCCAACCAGACCAGAGCACTGAGTGCCACAGGCTGGAGATGGGGATCCATTGGGGACCCCCCAGCTCAGGTCACCTCCCATCACCCCACCCTCTGTTGCATCCTGGTGTGGCTCAACCGCCGGGACAGGCAACGAATGCCGGCACAAGCCCAGCGCCAGCACCTCCCAACTCCTCACCTTGCGGCGAGGAGTCAGAGAAGACGAGATCCTCCAGGCCCTGCTCGATGACCTGCACGACGAACTCGGGGCGCCCGTTGTTCTCGCAGATGGTGCAGCGGTAGCAGCAGCGGCGGTTGTTGGTCCGCAGGCTCCAGTAGATGCGCGTGGCCTCGTAGCCCACGGGGTAGAGCGCGGTGACGCTGTGGAAATCGGCCATCTGGTGGGGCAGCAGCTGCCCGATGGCGTGGAAGACCAGCCCGCCCACGCGGAACATGTGGAGCCGCTCCCCGCGCTGGATGATGCTGGCGATCTGCTTCACCTCGTCCCGCTCGATGTACACGCGGCGGAACACGGTGAAGCTGCTGAGCTCCTGCTCGCAGGGCCCCTTCAGCTTGTGCAGGGGGCACAGCATGGTCTTGTCCTTGAAGAACATGCACTTGGCGCGGATGGCGCAGGCGAAGTGGTACACGCTGGGGCAGCGGATGCGGTTGCAGCTGTTGGTGGCGCCGGTTTTCTGGCACAGGGAGCACTTGGTGAGCAGCCCGCGGTGCAGGGCCACCTCCACGTTGATCAGGGCCCCGCCCTGCGTCTCGTACACCTCCGTGGACCACAGGGCGCAGTTCAGGTGGACCCAGAGGTCGAGGTCGAGGTTGAGCAGGCGGGCCGGCCCGTCCGTGGCCCCGTCGCCCTCCTCGTGGCAGAAGCAGCACTTGCGCAGGTCCCGCGGCACCTTCTCGGGGCGCAGGGTGGTGCCCAGCTTGTCGATGAACTCGGCGATCTCCTTGTCGCCGTCGCGCTTGGCCCCCCCTTTCTGGATGGTGACGAGGAAGCGCAGCCGTTTCCAGCGCACCCCCTTCCACTTCTTCAGCCGCGGCCGCGCCTCGTCCCCGTCCTCGGGCGGCCGCGAGCGCGGCTTGAAACGGGGCGGCGAGTGGGGGGCCGTGGCCCCTTCCTCCTGGGGGGCCGGCGAGGGGGCCGGCAGCAGCGGCGACGGCGGGGCCGGGGCGGCCTCGAGGGCCACCTCGGGGTTGGGGACCCTGGTGGGCTCGGCAGGGCTGGACGGGGAGGGGACGGAGGGGGATAGAGGGGGCGAGGGCTCCTGGGGCATGACCGAGAGCTGCCGCACGTCCAGGTTGGACACGTTGTTGACGTAGCAGTGGTGAAGGGTCTTCTCGGGTGCGGGGCTCTCCTGTGGGAATGGGGAGGGGGTCACGGGTCAGAGTGTTGGAAGGAGGGGTCTTTGGACCTGCGGGGACCCCAGAGCACCTCACGTGCTCCCAGCCCTACAAGGACCACCTGCACCCCTTCCTGGGGGACTCAGCACCTCTCCATGAGGAGACCCACCCACCCCGGAATCATGGCCCCCTGCGATCATGGGGGGACCTACAAGGACCACCCTGCACCTCTACGTGGTAACACCTGGTTCCAAAGAGCCCCCCCTCCACTCCTGCACCACAACACAGTCACAGCCCTACAGGAACCCCAACACACCTCTCTCAGTGTCCCAGTGGACCCCACAGCCACTGACCTGTCTGAGCAGCGTCAGAAGGTCCAGCTCGCCCTTGAGGCTGTACCCAGGCAGCACCGCGTCGAACTGCTTCAGCCACTCGGAGCTGCTGTCGGGCACCTTCCCAGCCAGCGCCTTCTCCTTCCCTCCGAGCATCCCTGGGAGAGGAAGGCACAGCCCATCACTGGGGGGGTCCCAGCCTGGGGCTGCGGGGGGCCCACAGGGACGAGGAGGACACTCACCAGCCATATCAGCCTCCACCTTCTTGGCCTCGACCACGGCCACTCGCACGGGGCCATCGGGGAACAGCACCTCGTAGGAGCTGGGGATCTTCACACTCAGCAGCTCAGCCATGGCCACCATTACCCCATTGAGGTTCTGGGATAGAGAAGGATGGGATGGGTCCAGGGTGCCCCAGATGCCACCGTGTGGGGCCACCGCCAGGACCCCAGAGTGTCTCACGTCCCCCCATCCCCTCGCTCACCTTGGCGGCCGCCGCGGACACCGTCAGCATGACAGAGACCTCGCTGCTCTTGCCCTTCTCCCACGGGGCTCCCGGGCCTGCTGCCCCCACCTTCCCTGGGGGGGCCCCAAAGGGCTCTGAGGCCTCGTAGGGTTTTGTGTCAGGGAACACTGGTGTGGGGAGAGGGAGGGGTCAGAGCTGCACAGACCCAAACCCACCAACAGCCACCTCTGACCCCACCCAGCTGCCCCAGATCCCTGCAGGGAACCCATTACCCCCCAGACCCATTTCCCTCAGCCCACACACCCCAAGGACCCCTTCCCCCGCTCTCCAAAATCCCAGGAACCCCCTCCTGCCCCACCCATATCTCTTCCTACCCAACACATGCCCTGCAGACCCCTCCCCTGCCCTGTACATCCCACTGAACCCCTCCTGCTCGGTCCATATGGACCACAGACCACTCCTGCCCTGGGTCCATGCACCAACCCCAGCCCATTCCACCTGGGATACTGGCCCGGGGGATGATGGGGATGATGGGAGACAGCACACGCTCCTCCAGCTCCGGCTTGGCCTCGCTGAGCAGCGGGAATCGCAGCAGCTCCTCGCCCAGGACGCTCTCGGGGGATGAGGCAGGGACGATGCTGTCGGGGGAGTCGCTCTCGTCGTCGCTCTCCATCCTGGGGGGAAGGAGGTGTCAGGGGCCACGGGCTGGAGTGACCCCTTGGTGGGGGCTGGTGTCACTCACAGAGGTCTCACCTGACGTCCTCGGTCTGGTTGTGTGGCGGGGTGGGCAGAGCTGCCAGCAGGTCCAGGCTCTTCACCTCCACAGCCGGTGTGTCTGCGCGGAAGGGACGGGTGTCACGGGAGGGTGGCAGGTGGTGGCAGGGACTCTGTGCCACCCCCGTGCCAGCCAGGCTTACCCTTCTGGCCGTGGGGCTCGCGGGCTGGGTCGGCGTCCTTGGGCTGCTCGCCCAGTTCCTCGGGGGCCGTGACACCGTTCACCATCTTCTGCTGCACGGAGGGAGGGGGCGTGGGGGGCAGCGAGGAGGGCGGCGTGGGCGGGTTGCTGAGGTTGTTCTGGGGGGGGAGACAGCGGGGTGAGCGCGGCAGGGTGGTCCAGGACCCCCCGGATTGAGGGGACAACAGGTGAAGAACCCCTCCCCTCACCTTGGTGAGCAGCTGGGAGTAGTAGTCAGGGACGCTGTCGAGCACGGCGCTGCCGAAGGCGCCCCGCAGTTGGCTCTTCCCGTTGATGGGGCTGCTGCCGAAGGGCGCGAAGAGGCTGAAGTTGGCGGTGATGGTCGGCTCCGTCAGCGGCAGCAGCGACAGCTCCTGGGGGCAGAGTGGTGAGGTGGTGAGGGGGGCACAGGGGCGGAAAGGCAGCCCCCACCACCCCCCCGGCCCGCCACTGTACCTGCTTCAGCTGCCTCATGAGGGCCTCGCCGGGACGCAGCCCCTCGTCCTTCCGCAGCTTCTTGCGGGAAGCCGGGATCCGCTCGTTGCCTTTCTGCACCCGCTTGGGCTTGGTGGGCGCCGGCTTCCTGGCGATGGAGGGGTCCTGGGGAGGGAGAGGGGTGTGTGAGCTGTGCCGGCACAGCCCTGTGCCCATCACCCCCTGGCCCGGCCCGCCCCACTCACCTCCCGGCCCAGCAGCAGCGGCTGCGGCCGCGGCTCCATCCCGGCGCTCCGGCTCTCCGTGTGCCCATTGAGCTCGCCCGGGCTCTGCGCCGAGAGCTGCACGTTCTTGGCCCGCAGCAGCTTCTGCAGCAGCAGGTGCCCGGCCTCGGAGCGCCCGCCCGGGGCCAGCAGGCTGTTGGCTTGGCCGGCCCCAGGGTCCCCGTTGGCCTCCGGTTTCGCCGTCTCGTCTCCGTCCAGCTCACACTGCGCCGCTGCCGCCGCCTCCTCCTTCGGCTCCTGCTTCACCAACACCTGGGGGGCTTCGCCCGCCGCGGGGGCCCCCTCTGGCACTGCCCCGTTGATGTGGATCTCACTGGGGTCGGCTGGGTCCGCCCCGGGCGCCTCGGGGTCCCAGGGGCCGCGTGCTGGGTCAGGGAGGGCAGCGCTCGGCGTGGGCGTCAGCCCCGGCTCTGCGGGCACTGCGGGGCTGGGGGTCGAGGCCGGGACCCCCGGCGACGTCTTCTTTGGCTCTTGGGGGCTCTGCTCGGGGCTGGCCACGTGCTGGGGGGCACAGCCCAGGGGCGAGGGGGCTGGTGGAGTGGGGAGGCGGACAAGGCCGGGCTGGGGGCCACGGGCAGCCAGGGCTGCCTGCACCAGCTCTGCCAGGGGCTGCTGGGGGGGCTGCTGAGGGGGCTGCCCTGGCAGCGCCCGCCCCGGCTCGGCAGCAAAGCTGGTCTGTGCCTCTGCCGGGGTGCCCGGCCGGGGCTGGAAGAGGGACCCCATGGGGCGAGGGGGCTGGCGGGCGGCGGGCGAGCCGTAGTCCGGGGCCTGCCCGGGGAAGGGGCCGGGGGTCCGGAGCGCCTGGCTCTGCTGCAGGAGGCTCTGCTGGTGCCGCTGCACCAGGAGGGCCTGGAGCTGCTGCTGCTGCTGCGGCGTCAGGTGCCGCAGCTGCGGGTTCTTGGCCAGGACACCCTGGAGCTGCGCCCGGATCTGGCCCATCACCGGCCCCGGCACCTGCCCCAGGAGCCCCGTGGGGAGCGTGGCCGTGCCCGGTGCCGGCCCCGCTTTGTGCTGCCCGGGGCTCTGGAGCCGCGGGGGCTGGGGCTGCCCCTGCAGGGCCCCCGCCGGCCCCTTGCCCGGCTGCTCCGGGGGCCGCGGCGCCGGCACCATGCCCTGTGCCATGCCCTGTGCCGGGCCCGTCCCGCAGCCCAGCGGCGGCTCTGCCACCCCAGCCGTGTCCCCGTGCTGCTGCTGGGACAGCTCGGGGTGGGCGGCCCCGGGGCTCTGCAGCGGCGGGGCGAGCAGGGCACCCTGCTGCCCAGGGGCTGCCCGCAGCATTCCCGGCTGTGGGGAGGCCAAGAGGAGCTGCTGGCCCTGCCCCAGCTCAGCCTGGTGCTTGGGGGCCACGGCCTCCGGGCCCCCCAGCCCTTGGGGGTTGAGGGGTCCCTGCTGCTCCCCGTGCAGCTGCCCCCCGCTCTCGCCGCCCTCGGTGGACAGGACGCCGCCATCCACCCCCGTGGGCTGGTCCTTGGCAGCCAGGACCGCCGGGGCCGGCTGCATTCCCTGACTCAGGTGCAGCACAGAGGGGGCCTGGCCCCCCGCCCCGTGCTGCGGAAAGTGCTGGATCGAGGCCTGCCCCTGGCCCAGCCCCAGGAGGCCCGGCTGGGCGGCCGCCGAGTTCTGCTGCTGCTGCTGCTGCTGCTGCTGCGGGGTCAGCAGCGCCCGCGACTGCCCCAGCTGCTGGGACAGCACGAGCCGGTGGCTCAGCATCCCCGGAGTCTGCGGTGCCAGCTGGGGCGAGCCCAGCACCCGCTGCTGGTGGGGGGCCAGGAGCACCTGGCGCTGGGGCTGGGGGTGGCCCAGCATGGGCTGGTGCTGCAGCCCCGGCGCCGGCGCGTGGCCCAGCACGCCCGGCTGCTGCTGGGGCGAGAGCTGCTGCACCAGCAGGCTCTGCTGGCTGCCCAGCAGCCCCCCGGCCTTGGGCACCATGGGCTGAGCCCCCGCGCCGGGCTGGGGGGTCGGGGGCTGCTGCTGCTGCCCCAGCAGGCCGGGCTGCCCCGCCACGGCCGTCGGCTGCATCGGGGCCTGGCCCAGCGCCCCCGGCTGCTGCATGGACGCCTGGCTCATCATGCCCGGCTGCTGCATCGACGTCTGCGCCATCACACCTGCCTGTTGCATCGAAGCTTGTCCCATCATGCCCGGCTGCTGCATGGATGTCTGAGCCACGATGCTCTGTGGCTGCATGGAGCTCTGTCCCATCACACCCTGCTGCTGCATGGACGCCTGACCCATCACGCCCTGTTGCTGCATCGACGTCTGTCCCATCACACCCGGCTGCTGCATGGCTGCCTGGGCCATCACGCCCTGCTGCTGCATGGATGCCTGTCCCATCACACCGGGCTGCTGCAGCGACGCCTGTCCCATCACACCGGGCTGCTGCATGGAGGCCTGACCCATCACGCCCTGTTGCTGCATCGACGCTTGTGCCATGACACCTGATTGCTGCAGTGACGTCTGTCCCATCACACCTGATTGCTGCATTGATGCCTGTCCCATCACACCTGATTGCTGCATGGACGCCTGTCCCATCACTCCTGGCTGCTGCATGGACGCCTGTCCCATCACTCCTGGCTGCTGCATGGGGGCCTGTCCCATCACACCCTGCTGCTGCATGGACACTTGTCCCATCACCCCTGGCTGCTGCAGCGACACCTGGCCCATCACGCCCGGTTGCTGCATGGAGCTCTGTCCCATCACGCCCGGCTGCTGCTGCTGCTGCTGCGGCAGTGCCACCTGTCCCAGCATGTTCTGCTGCTGCAGCTTCTGCGCCAGCTGCATCCTCTGGAGCTGCCGCTCCTGCATCAGGCGGCTGTCGGCGGCCAGCCCGCGCAGCGCGGGGTTCCCGGCGAAGAAGGCGCTGGAGGAGCCGGGTCCCGGGGAGTTCCCCATGGCCTGCTGCCCCATGAAGGACAGGCCCTGCTGCACGGCCATGGACACGCCGCCCTGGGACAGGCGCAGCCCCCCGGGTTGCCCCGGTTGCTGCCCGAGGCCCTGCGCTCCCACCCCGGGCTGCTGCACCCCGTGTGCTGAGAGGAGCTGCCCCGGGAGCTTGGACATGAGGCGGGGGCTCTGCGAGGGGCTCAGGGCCATCACGGCCGAGGCCTGGTGCTGGTGCTGCTGCTGCTTGTTGCGGTACTCGGCCATGAGGTTGGTGTGTTCCTTCTGCTGCTTCCGCACCTGCCGGGGACAGCGGGGCATCAGCACCGGGAACGCTGGGGCGTTAGTGCCGGGGATGGCACGGCACTACTGCTGGGGACAGGGGAATGTCAGCACCAGGAATGGCACAGTGTTAGTGCCCGGGACAGCAGGGAGTTAGTGCCAGCAGTGGCATGGCACCTGTGGCCAGGAATGGCACGTTTGCACTGAGCACATCACATTTGCACTGGGGACAGCACCGGGTGCCAGGGATATCGTGTTTGCACCGAGGACGAGGCTCCCACCCGCATGCAGGGGCCTACCTGGTCCAGCTGCTTCTGGATCTTACTCTGCTGCTCCGTCACCAGCTTCAGCTTCTCGGCGTCGGCCTCGGGGAACTCCCTGCCAGCCTTCTTGGCCGTGCGCTGCTTGGCACAGAGCGCCTTGCGGGACTTGCGGTGAGCCCCGATCTGCTCCTCCAGCACCTTCAGCTGCATCTGCAGCAGCTGCTGCGTGTGGAACAGCCACTCCTCGTACTGCCGCTGGTCAGCCTCGTCTGTGGAACGGGGAGAGGGCTCATCAGCAGGGATCCCGGGTCAGCAGGGGCTCCGGGTGAGCGGGGACCCGGCTCCCAGGGGCAGGGTGAGCTCCCCATCCCGTCCCCCCCGTACTCACTGATGACGCCCTGTGCGAAGGTGGGTGGGTTGGGGCGAGCCTGGGTTGGGTCTGTGCCACTTCGCTCCTGCCAGAGAGAGAGAGGAATGTTGGGGACATGTGCCTCCCTGTCCCCTCCCCACAGCCCTCACCTCCCCAGGGAGACAGAAACCCACCAGCCAGAGCCAGTGCTGAGCACCAAGCCAGGCAGACCTAAGGGATCCCTGTGTTCCCCCACCCCGGACACCCCACTCACCTGCCCGCTCCCTGCCAGCAAGTGGTTCTGCATCTCAGAGACTGCTGGGCCCCCCGAGAGCCGCTGGGCCAGCAGGGAAACCTGTTGCCTTTGGAGGGGGACACAGAGATGGGGGTGAGTGGGAGCCAAGGCACTCTGCCCATCCCTGCCCGTGCCCCATGGACCTTTGTGCCCCTTACCTGTTCATGCCCGGGGCCACCCCAATGCTGCCCTGAGCCATCACCTTCTTGATGCCCTTCAGTGCCACCATCTTGGCTTTGGCAATGGGGTCCATGATGTCCTCAGCCGCAAACTTGTCCAGGTCTGCCACGAGACAGGTCACAACACGCTCAGCCCTACACACTCCACCCAAAACAGCCCCACGCTCCCCCAGACCACCACCCACGGGTCCTACCTGTGTCTGGGAAGAAGCTGTTGGCCAACTGCTGCTGCATGACGAGCTGGGGGGGCTTCAGGCCCAGGGTGGGGGGCTGCACCCCAGCCATCGGCTTCTGCACCAGCACCTGCTGCTGGCTCTGCTGCGGCTGCCCCAGGGCCACCTGCACCCCATGGGGAGACGCCAGCACGTGGGGCTGCCCCGAGGCCATGCCCATGTGGGGGGCCAGCGCCGGGCCCTGCTGGGGTGTGCCGAGCCGGGGGGGTTGTGGTGGCATCAGCGGCGGCCGGGCCACCAGCCCCAGCTGGAGGGGGGTCTGAGGGGCGCCCAGGCGGGGCGGTTGCCCCTCGGGGGGCTGCCCGGCCGCCCCCGCGTGCAGCATGGGGTGCCCCGGGGCCGGGAGGTGGGGGGTGCTGCGGGGCAGGTGGGCCGACATCTGCTGCTTCTTCTGCAGCTCCTTCTTCTCGTGCTCCAGCAGGTCCTCGATGAGCAGCGGCAGCTCGCTGGCCACCAGCGAACTCTCCATCTTGTCCAGGTCGTCCGCCGGCGAGTGCCGGGCGCTGCCCAGCCCCAGAGCTCCGCTGTCCAGCTCGAACTTCTCCAGCAAGGGGTTGCTCTGGCTGCCCAGCTGGGCAGGGGCCAGCCCGCGGCCGGGGGCAGCGTAGGGGTCCTTGTCCGGCACGGGGACACTGGCGTGGCCACTGTTGGGGAACTGAGTCAGGCCGAGGCGAGCGGGGCCGGCGCCGGGGCTCAGGAGGGTCTGGCCGGGTTTGAGGCTCAGCCCCAGCGAGGCAGAGATTTTGTCGGTGCCCTGCAGCCCCTCCGACTTGACGGGCACTGGGAGCCGCTCGGAGCCGGCGGCGGTGAACTGGCAGGGCGAGGTCTTCAGACAACCATCCTCCAGCTTGGGCTTCACCTCGGTGGGCAGCGAGCCGGGCTTTGCCTCCGCACCCTGCGCCTTGAAAGCCGGGTCAGGGGCCAGCACGGCGCCCGCGGGGCAGGCAGAGGGTCCCAAGCTCGCACTGGGCACCAGCCCTTCCTTGGGCACCTCCTGGTTCTCCGCGGATGGGGTCACATCTTTGCTGTCCCCGGGGTCGGGGAGCTTCAAGGCGGGCGCTGGCGGCTCCGTCTTGAGCTGGGCCTCACGCTCGGCTTTCTCGTTGGCCGACTCGACCAGGCGCAGGTGCTCGTTGAAGATGTCCTTCTTGTCCCCGGTGTCCAGCTCGGGGTCGGTGTAGGCCAGCAGGTCGAACTCGTCGCCGTTCAGCAGGTCGTCGAGGTGGGGGTCTGCTGTCTCCAGGCTGTCCAGGTTGTCCAAATCGTCGTCCCCCTTGGCCACGTCCGGATCCAGGCTCAGGTTGGCCAAATCGTCGTCGTCTTCCAAGTCCTTGTGGGAGCCAAAGTCGTCATCCAAGTCGGGCTCCACGGGCACCTCGCAGGGCAGCCGTGCCCCCTCCAGGCTCAGGTGGCTCTTCCCTGGGGCCGGCGCCGGGTCTGGAGCGGGGCCATCCTTGGGACCCTCGGGGCGCAGGGCAGTGCCCGAGGACAGCGGGCGGGGGGGGACGTGCTGCAGCTCCAGGGTGGGGGCCGGCAGTGGCGGGGGGGCCGCCTTGGCGTGGGGCTGCTGGTGGCTGTTGCCCATCTCTGCTCCCTGCGGGGACGCGGGCGGGAGCGGCGCCGGAACCTTCTGGGGCGGCAGCGCCTGCATGGGCACGACGGGGCTGCAGAGGGCCTGGGCTGTGCCCTCCTCCCCGGGCAGGAAGAAGCGAGGCCGGGGCGCCTGGGGGGCAAAGGGGGACCCCACGACCCCCCCGGGTCCCTTCTGCACGTTGTGTCGCAGCTCGATGAAGGGAGCGCCCAGGGGGGTGGACAAGGGGGGCACGGCCTCGGCGGGGGCTGCCAGGCGGGTGCCCAGGCTGCCCATGGGGGTCCCGGCAGCCGGGGGGGCGAAGCGGGAGGTCACGGGGAGCCGCAGGGCCGCCACGGCCGCCTGTTGCTGCTGCTGCTGCCAGAGGTGCTGCTGCTGCTGCTGCTGCGGAGATGGTGCTGGGAAGACCCCGCGGGGGTAGAAGGCCTGGGGGGGCCCCACTGTCGCCCTGGAAGACACAGTGATGTTGGCACCGGCTCGGCACGGCCACAGCCCCGATGCACCAAGTCCCACCTCCCTTGGACCACTCCAGTCACCCAAAAATTCACAGCTACTCTACCCCTCTGGGGCGATCCCACAAACTGGGGACACACACACCCCACCAGGGTGATCCCTGCTGGCTCCCACCCCGCCGCACCGAGCCCACCACCCTGTCACGGGGCACCCACCGCCCGTTGATGTCCAGCGTGGCCGGGGTGGCCGCCGGTGGGGGTCGGGAGAGCCGCTCGTCCTGGGGAAACGCCGCCTGCACCATGACGGAACCGGGCAGCTTCCCGGCGCCAGCTGCCGTGGCCAAGGTCCCGAGGAGTCCCTTGTCCTGGAAGAAGGGAAGGAACGACATGGTGTCACCCCTCCACCAGCCGCGTCACCCCCCTGTGAACGCCCTGGCCCAGTTCTCCCACCTGTGCTGGCTGGTAGGGGGCCATGCCCCGGCTCAGCTCGAAGCCCTGCCCGGCGGCCTCGGGGGCCCAGGTGGCGGGCGAGGAGGTGGCGGCAGCGGCCGCGCTCTCCTTCTCCTGCCGCAGGCTGTTCCGCTGGATCTGCTGCCGGATCAGCAGCTCCCGGAGCCGCTGGCGCTGGGAGAACCGAGAGTTAGAGCCGAGAGCGGAGTGAAACCAGCAAGACCCAGGTGGCCATCAGTGCCTCCACAGGTCCCAGTTCTACCCTCACGTCCCCCCTCCAAACCCAGATGGACGCAGTGGGATCACCAGCCAGCCCTCCAGCCCTCACCTGCCGCTGCTTCTCCAGCTCCGACTGGCTCATGGTGCCGAGGGCCCCATCCTGGCCGCCGGGCAGCTCCGCCAGGTCCCGGTTTGGGGGCGCCGAGAGCCCCACGGCCGCCTCCTCCCTCTTGTCGGCCGTCGGTCCCAGCGCGGCGCGGGGCAGGAAGGCTCCGGAAGGGTCCTGCTGCTGCGGGGGGGCCGGGGGCTGCGGCGGCAGCACCGACGGGGGCCGCAGGGGCGAGAGGCTGTAGGTGTCAGGGGCAGCCGTGCCCGGGCCCAGGGGGCTGCCGGCCTGGTGGAAGCCGGGGGACGAGGCATAGGCCGAGCTCTGGGGTTTCCCAGAGCCGTAATGGCTGTTGATCCCATGGGGCTGGTGGGACGGGGAGCCCTTGAGGGGCTCCGAGACGGCCGGGGGGAAGGTGAAGCGCATGGGGGTCTGGCTGCCCGGGAAGACGCTGGCGCCGGGGGAGCGGGCGAAGGGCGGCTGCGGCCCCGCCGGTGCCTTGGCGTGGGGCTCACCCCCCGGGGCGCCCCCAAAACCCCCGCCAGGCTTGAACCCCGGCTCCGGCAGCTGCGGCCGGGGGGGCTTGTGCAGGGGGGTGAAGGGGTCCCGGGATTGGGGCCGGGAGGGCGGTTGGGAGTAGGGATCGGGGGACTGGAAGCGGGGGGTGACGGGGGACTGGCAGAAGGCTTCGTTGGAGAGCGGGCGGGGGGTGAGGGGCGACTGGGAGCTGGACTGGGACTGGGGGCTGGCGGGGACGCGGGAGAAGGGCTCGGAGGGCAGGGAGCGGGGCGGGAGGGCACAGCAGGCCTCGGGGGGCTGCAGCCGGGGCGTCAGTGGGGGCTGCGAGTAGGGGTCCAGGTAGGGGGACTGGCGGTAGAGATCGGGGTGGCCGGGGGGCGAGGGGGCCAAGGGGTGGGGGTCGGGGGGCCGGTGCCCCAGCCCCGGGCTCTGCGGCTCTACCTGAGAGACCCGTGGGGTCATGGGGGCTTTGAAGACGTCGGCCGCCTTCAGCTCCGCAGCCGAGAGGTGGGGGCCGCCCGGGGAGTCCCCATAGCCCATGGCGGAGGCATAGCCGGGCGAGCAGACCCCCAGGCTCGCCCCCCCTTCCTCCTTCTTCACCTCCAGACCCTTCTTCTGCTCCCCGAAAGGCAGGGGAGAGAGCAGGGCCTCGGGGGGCCGTGCCCCAGGGCTCCCCGGCATCGAGAGGTTGTCCAAGGAGGGGCACCGGGGCTTCAGGAAAGGGTCCGGGGTGCCGGGCTGGTGCCGGGGGGTTCCGGGGGGCGTGGGGTGGAAGTCGGGAGGGGCTCGGGGGGCGGTGAGGGGCTGGGGCTGGCCTGGGAAGGGCTGGAAGGCGGCACCCGCCGTGGGGCTCTGGCCCAGGGGTGAGGGGAAGCGGGGCTCCAACGCGTAGGTGCCGCCGTAGGGGTCGTGCGAAGGCACTTGGGCGGGGGACTGGGGCGGGAGCTTGAGGAAAAGCTCGCTGGGAGACTCCGGCCCCGCTCCGGCACCCGCCGGGGGCTTCAGGAAGCCCTCGCCGGCGGCGGGGGGGCTGCTGATGTAGACGGGCTGTGCCCCCGGCGGCACCGGGATCCGCAGGTGCAGCGAGGGCCTCTCCGGCTTGCGCAGTCCCTCCCCTTTGGTCTGCTTGTTGATCTGGCTCTCGGCCTGCTGCGGAGAGAGCCGGCCCGTCAGGGCTGCGGGACCCCCTCCTGCCCTCCCCTGAGGGCCGGACACGGGGCTGGGGTGGACACGCCACGTTCCCCCCCCCCAGAGCTGGGCCGGGGCCGCCGGGCACCTCCCCGCGCCGGACGTACCTTCTGCACCTTGTTGATGCGATGAGCCGCCCGGTTATCTTTGGCCTTTTGCTAACAAAGACACGAAGCCAGCTGACTCGCAGCCCCCGGCGCCCCGGCCCCCCCCCCCCCCCTGACCCCCCCCCCGGCACTCACCAAATACGGGGCTTTGTCCGTGGCAGGGACCTTCCTCCAGAGCTTCATGATCTGCTTGCAGCGGCTCGACCAGTCTGGGAGTCCGGTACGAGCAGATGGAGGGGACAAAAACAACCTTAGCCCGGACCTGACGAGCCCACCCACACCCTGGGTGGGTGACGTTGTCCCCTCTTGTGTGGGGACAGCCCCATGTCCATGAGCTGGTGAAAAGACCCCCTCCACATTGCTGCAGGGAACACTTCAGTGCCAGAGCAGCTGGAATCTCCCCTCCAAACATGGATCGGGGGGGTCACGGTGCACCCAGACCCTTCCACCCTCACCCCAACAAGGCGGTTGCAGCCCCCCCTCCCAGAGCCACAGCCCCCCCAGAGCCCTACCTGGATAATCCTGCTTGAGATTGGGGAAGTTCATGTTGGCGTAGAGGACGGGGGAGATGGTGGAGAGCTCGCCCAGCTCCTCGTCCTTCTCCCAGCGCTGGAGGCTGCGCTGGTTGTAGGACAGGCCGTCGCCCTCCCCCTCTGTCGTGGGCGTCGTGGGGGTCGAGGGGGTGGTGGCGGCCGAGCTGCTGGCCCAGGGGCTCTCGGGCTCGCAGTGGTCTGGGCTGAAGAAGCCGCTCCGCTCCCTGCGTGGAGGGGAGAGCGTCAAGGATCGTCAGGATGTGAGGGAAGAGGGTCCTGCAACGCCCCAGGCTTCAATCCCTCCAAGGAGACCCCCCCCCAGCTCCCCCACGTACCTGCTGTCGAGGAACGGGGACTGGCAGACCCCTGAATACGAGTCCAAGGAGACGGATCCGGAGAGTGAGCCCAGGGAAACGCTCCCTGCGAGGGAAAGGAGATGGGTTGGAGGGAGGGCAGGGCTGGGGTTCAAGCCTGTGCCTGCCCTGGGGGTCCCAGCAGCCCCCAGAAAATACAGCATCCCCCAAAACGCCTCCCACGTTCGCCCCCAGAGCAACTGGGAACAGTTGGCTCTCTGGTACCACAGGCACTGTGCTGCTCTCTGAGCAGCTCAGCCCCACCACTTTGGCTTTCTGGGGGGTGGGCAGCGAGTCCTTCTCCCCATCATCCAGGCCCTCCCAGCCCATGGAGGCCCTGCCAGTTGCACCCACCCTGCCCCGAGAGCTGGAGGTCTCCTTGCAGGAAGGGGCGCTGTGCCCGGCCGGGGTCCTGCCCGGCCTCCATCCCCCCGGCCACGCAGTTGAGGGGCTGCTCCCCCCTCTCTGCCGAGCCCAGCACGTCCTTGAAGAGCTGCTGCACGTCTTTGCTCTCCATCTTGGGCAGCTCTGCGGGGGCAAAAGCAAAAAGGCTGAGCCATCCCAGGGTGCAAATCCCACACTGGTGGGAAGGGGAGGAGAAATCCGGGGGTCCTGGCCCCGGGACCACCCTCGCCTCAGTGGATGAGGGTGGTCTCACCTTCCGTGGGGATCTTGTCGAGGTCAGAGCTCAGCGCTCCCTCGCCCGGGGTGGCCGGTTTCTCGGCGTCCCCAGGGTCTGGGGAATCCTTTGGCTCATCGGCCCCTGCGAGGAGGAATCAGGAGGTGCCTTCAGCCCCCTGGGACCCCAAGCTCAGGGCTGGAGACCCCCCATGTGAACCCATCGCCCCCCCCGATCCCAAAAAGGCACAGGAGTCCCTCGGTCCTCCAAGGACCCCGAGCCACGCGGGGGCGCTCTAGGCGCCACTCTATGGTCACCAGCGCCATGGGAATCACATGGGGGAACCATAGAGTTCAGCCCTGCCTAGAGCGGATCCCCTCAACCATAGAGTTCTGTCTCGATGGTTGTGGGCGCTCCAGCCCCCGGTGGAGGACTCTGCTGTTGGGGGGGTCCCGCGGGGGTCCCAGGGGCTCACCCAGGTCCTCGGCCTTCGCATCGTCCTTGCCATCATCGTCGGGAGCGGCGGCGCTGCCATCGGTGCTGTCATCCCCTGCAGGCCACCACGACTCATTGGGGGGGGCAGGACCCCCCAACCTGCCCAGGGTCACCCCTGGATCCCCCGAGGTCATCCCTGAATCCCAGAGACCTCCTACACCCCTCGATGTCAACCCCCCCACAGCCCACGGCATCCTCCAACAAGCCCCAGTGTCTACAGCAGGTCCTCACAATGGGGGTCTCCCTCAATCACCCCCAACAATCCTCGGGAGCCCCAAAATCCCCAACCACCCCAAAACAACACCAGGGATCCCCAACAGCACCAATGACTCCCAATAACTCCCAAAAGCCCCAGAAACCACCAACGATCTCAATGACCCCCAAAAACCCAGGGACCCTCAACAACCCCCAACCACCTCAGGGACCACCAAAAAACCCTGAAAGCCCCCAAAAACCCCAGGACCCACCATGACCCTCAACAACATCCAGCGTCCTCACTCCTGGCCACACTCACCTCGGGGGTGGGTGGGGGTCTCCCTCCTGTCCTGGGGGGCTCCCTGCAGTGCCCCAGCCAGGTTGGGGTCCCCCTTGGGCCTTGGGGCGCCCTGGCCCAGGGAGGGGCGGGCGGTCCCGTCCCCCACCCCGCCCGCTGCCAGCAGCGCCTTCCGGCTCAGGTCCATCAGCGCCTTCCCAAAAAACGCCTCCTGCAACAGAAGGGTTCTGTCAGCATCAGGAGGTCCCCTCTGTCCACCCCCCTCGCCCCCAGGCCACCCCAACCCCCTCCATCCACCCCACCTGCAGGTACGGGGGGAACATGTCCTCCAACTTGCTCTTCTTCCGTCCCCGGCGTTTCTTCTTCTCGTCCCCCTCTCCCGAACCCGGATCCAGGCCAGCCTCGGCTGGGACATCGCCCGGAGCACCTGCAACAGCCCCCCCAGGAATGAACACACACCTCCCAAAAAGGGCCTGGGGCTGTTCCCGGGCCACCGGCACCGTCACAGCATTGTGGGTCCTCCACATCCATGGGGGATGAGAAGGGAAAGGAAAAAGAGGGGGAAAAGGGAAGGGGAAAGGGAAAGAGAAGGGAAAAGGGAGAGGGGAGAGAGGAAAGGGTTGAAAAGAGAAAGAAAGGAAAGGGGAAAAGGAGGGAAGGGGAAAAGGAAGGAAGGAGAAAAGGGAAAAGGAGGGAAGGGGAAAAGGGAAAAGGAGGGAAGGGGAAAAGGGAAAAGGAGGGAAG